TATATAGAGTTTGTGCTGGCAAACGACAGACACTATTAAATAAGCCAGCTAGAAAATATATGCATTTACAATGTTTGTACTAGGTTATATTTTTTAGTGAATGCAATGCGGAAATCATTTCGATCATTGTGTCAATTTATTTTCTTTACTGTACAGTTGCGAGTTCGGAAAGCAAATGCAATTTGCAAAAGAGGGATAAACTTTAAATTCAATGGCCATGAACTGGCAGCCAATTCTGCATTCGTTCACTCGATGATCTCATTTCCAGCTGCAGAAAACTCATATTATTTTTTTTCTATGTGCCGCATTTTACCCGAACGAGAAATTATTTTATAGTCACAAGTTTATCAACCGGCACAGAAGGCAGATAACGTGGTTAGCCCCTTTGTAAATCGGTACACTCACTAGCGCACAGTGGGTCTTATATGTATGCGAACGTATGTAGTGCTGCGACAGTGCGTCACTTAAGAATTTAACAAGTATCTGGCGTGATGCCCGCCCACACTCATTTAATTTTTGTTACGTTGATTCTTTTTTCAATTAACAGCTGCTTCACATTCCGAGAGGGTTTAATCAACAACAAAGAGCGCGTTAGTTAATCGAATGTTTCTTTCGAGTGTTATCTAAAGCCATATATATATATATTCAAATGTATATGTACGTTAGAGAAAAAAAAGAGCACAGTAAAAACATTTTCACGACAGACTCGACGCGCCGCACATTTTCACGGTTGCACAAGCCCAAGGAGACTGACTGAAAATTCACGAGCGAACAGCAATGCGTCGACCACAAACAACAACAACAACAACAAGCGACGCGGGCGTCGCTGGCGACGACTACAAAGCGACGACCGACGATGTTTGGCAGCAGTCTCTCCCGGCTGTGGGGTGTGTGTGTGTGTATATATGGATGGGGTCTGTTTGTATGGCTGCTTGCTGCTTGCGGAGCCTCCCAGTGTGTGTGTGTGTGAGAGTACGTGCATGTGCAAGTGGCAAAGAATGAAAAAGAATGAAAAATGAATAAAAGCACCCGAAGCATCAGAGAGTTGCGATGATTATACAATGTGCAACAGAATTAACCCCAAATGATTTTAAAATATCCGAATACTCTGACCTTTTCAGTTGGTGGTGTAGCCTCTATCATCCCAATTTGCAACAAGAAACCAGAATATAAACTCATCCCAAACTAATTACATACTAAATGTATAAAAACTAACTTAAATTCGGATACATTAAGATATAACCCCAAATGATTTGAAAATATCATTAAAATGTCGGGATTCTGTGACCTTTTCAGTTGGCGGTGCAGAATCTACAATCCCAAATTGCAACAAGAAACTAGAATATGAACTCATCCCAAATTAATGACATACTAAATGTATATAAACTAATTTAAATTCGGACACAGATTTATGTTCAGTTTAATAGGGCAAGCGATAGACTATTCCCTCATAGAGTGCGGGCAGTCAGCATACCGTATCCAATGAAAACAAATGAAGTGCTCTGATAACCGAAGAGGGTCAGGATGTCACATCCTACATCCTACATACTACTTACTATAAGATCGGTTTTTGTCTATGTATGTGCGTATGTGCGCGTGCGACGACTGAATGAACATCTGGATTGTGGGCACTTGAGAGGGAAGCACTACAGAAACGGAGAGAAGGGAATCGGAAAGTGGGTACTTGCTCATTAATGATGACAACCAAACGTACTACAGACCATATCCAATAAAACAATTACAAATGCGCATAAATTCAAAGAAATCCAATAAGGGCACAATATTATGGCGTACATGGACGTTGGACTCATTGGGAAACACATAAATTAACATCGGCACACCCCACAAAACTGGTCTCTTAACAACAAGTAAAATGCGTGATAATTTCTTAAACAGCATAAACGAATGCGAATAAATACAAGAAAGAATATTGTAAAATAATTGTAAGTCCATCTAGTATATATTCTTGTTCTTTCACTCGTATCTCAAAAATCTTCCTCACATTTTTTATCTTGCAGATTTTCTTTGCTTCTTAACTCACATTTTCAATGATTTTATTTTCTCAAAAACAGCTGAGGGGTAACTGTCTGCCATGCCAGGGTCATTTTCATCATCCGTAAATTGAGACTTTTACTACACACGGCAGACGGAACGAATGGAGATATGTTGCTATAAAATTTTCAACGAGTCGTCCGCAAAAAAAAGGCATCTAGCGAGTAATGAGACAGCGAGAAAGAAATCAAGTTAAAACATGTATAGCATGTTTTTAGGTGCTTTACAAAATTTACAATTTACAAAATTCATCGAATCTTGTATAGAATAAATTTGAATATTTGGAATTCGATACAGCGTAAATTGCTTAATAACTACATAACTACATGTCATCTTAAATTTTTTAGGTTTCGCTTAGCGAGCGCCTTCTGTACTCAAGTTAAAATTGCCCCAGTGATCAAATTTATTTTTCCCCAATGGCGAACTGTGGCGTGACTCATCGCATGCATTTCAAAGTCATCTATACAATTCATTTTCGCCCCCTGCCGAATTGGCGACAATTGAAGGCAAATTAGCGAACTCTGAACTATTCGACCACCCTCAGATTATGGCCTCCTACTTGCCAGAGTTTTAATTGTCTCGCACAAAAATAAATTGCTGAACAATGTTTATTTGAAAACACAAACTCGCGGTGGGTCTTGGAAACATTTCCATCTCTACGTCCGTATATTGAATTGAATCCATCTGAACGTCTCTCAAAGACTGGCAGCTGATCTTTGCTTATATATATACATATATATATACATACATACACATGGACAAAACATATAAAGCAAAAAAAATATATATACCAGTTTCAGATAAACAATCAATCAATAATTATCTAGAGGATATTTCATAAAATAATTGCTATAGTTAAAATATGTTGGGTTTTAGCAGTTTTTTTTTCAGTTTCTATTTTTATTTACGATCTATCTCTTCGATAATAAATAAATTATGTGCTGAACAAAGTGATTAAAGTTAAAGTGATGATGATGAAATTCAACCGTCTACGAATCTGTTTGAAGATGATGTTTTATACTTAGTTTAACACCCGCAAATTTAAACTACAATCTTTTAATTTCAGAGAAATGCGATGATGAATAAAAAAAAGCAACAAACTAAAAAAAAAAAAAAATAGCAAAAATGCATAAATTTGAAATGCAGAATCAACCAAAAAGAAATCGGGTTAATTTTGAAATATTTACTTGTTGAGTTCACATACGGTAAAGTTTTCTGGTTTAAAAATTTAAAGACATATTTAATTTTGTAGCAGATTGTAATTATGCCAGCCCAAGAGAGAGAGAGAGAGAGAGAGAGAGAGATGAGCCCTCCAGCGCTGACACTATTCGAAGAAAAAAAGGGTGATCTGCTCCAACATATGGTATGAAGCTAATTAAAGACATGACGCCCGTTCCTTGGTGTGAAGTCGAACATGTGGGTGCAGTTAGAAGCTCGTCAGAATACTACGAATATTACATTGACAGTGCTAAGCTGCGTCACCAAGCTATGTATATTTGTCACGCCCCAAATATTGATAAGAATTATTTGTTCTGTTTTGTAGAAACTCTAGAGGGACAAAGATTGCAACATGTGTTGCAACTTGGCTTGACATGTCCCTGCTGTCGGCAGTTTGATTTCAACAAAAACAACATGTTGCATATCACAAACTAAGCCAGCAAAATGCTTCAAATACCAATAAAATTCCACATAGGAAAATTGCGGAGTTTTTTTTTCAAGTTTAGTGAAAGTCTTTTCCCGCAGTGCGTAATAACCGGGCACATAAATGCGGAATAGTCTAGTCGGTCTAATCAATTCAGTGCGCTGCGGGACTTAAGCAACGGGTCGGGTCTAAAGCGACTCGGACTCGAACATGACAAGCAACAAATGTGCGCAACTGCAGCCTTGTCTGTCACTCATTATGCATGCATGTATATTGTGCGTATATATTTATTAGTACATAAATTGGGAAACACATTCGATCAACACAAAACAACTCCAGTATTTGACATTCAACCGGTTTTGGCAACCATCCGTAGTTTTCACCTTAGATAGCGACGTCATCGAAATGAAGATTGGATGTACTAAAGATAAACTGATGACAAACCCCCAAAGACTCCGACAAATTGGTTTATAAAATGCTTTTAAAAACGCTTCCATGGCAAAATTAAATTGTCTGTGTGGCTAATGCAATTTTTCAACAAATCAATATAATAATATATAATACATATAAATATAATATAATATAATATATAATCGTTGAGAAACTGGCCTAATAAGGTTACGAAAGACTAAGTTATAAAGATATACATACAAAAATAAATATATATTTTTTGGCATTATTTTTGCAACTGATTTAAAAATATATATTCATTGTACTGAACCTTAGCTGAATGATGATGTGGCTGTTTCTATTTTTATTTATTTATTTATTAAATGGTCGACAAAAACGAGTGTCTTCTTAATTATTCAACATATTTTTGTTTGCATTAAAAACGAATAAGTTATACGTAATTTGATTTATGAGAAAGCACATGTTTCCATCCACCAACCAGTTTTATGTTTCTTTCGCGGCTTGCTCGTGCTCCATGACACATTTGTGACTAAGCCGCCGGTCATCCAAGCTGCTGGAAAAGACTTATGACTACCTTTGACTTCTTGATTGCCAATTAGAAATCAGACGCACGACTGCGGTCCGGACCACCTAACAAGCCGGACAATTCAGCTGAGATGCCCATGTTAACGGCTGGCGGGAGAATTCTATTGAAATGCAAAGCTTGTCATTTAGTTCGCAATTAGTGGCATAGATTACAGCCAAGCTCAGATGCATGGGAAATCTCAAGCCTCAATATGGAAGTAGTATATGCACGTAATGTTTACCCACTTGGCAACTGGCAGGCCCCCGGGAAGTTGAACGCGCTTGCACAAATAATGCAATACTGACCTAGCACAATAATGTTTACACTACACTTATCTAACGTTTATCATTGTTTATTAATGTGGTTAGGGTTATAAAATAAGTGAATGAACATAAAATTCGCCTATAATAGGCAATACGAGAAACTTTTTACTTAAATTTTACGCACTGAGCCAAAATGTCATTTGAATCAAATTAATTGATGGCAACTAAAAGTGCAAACTAAATGGTTTACGCAGCGCAGTCGCGCGATTGATAGAACAGAATGTAGCCGGTTTCCGAGGACTTGTGTATATCCGAGGTGAGGCCATAAAAGTCCTCGATGGTCGAGGCCTCAATCTTGTCGACCATGTCGTCGTCGAAGAGCAGCCAGAGCCCGTGACTCTTCACAATGCTTATGTAATGGCCGCGATTCGGTCCCGATCCGCAGTGAATTACCACCGCGGTCAGATCGTAAAGCCTGTCCGGATTGACCGCATCGTCCGAGGTGTTGAACAGGCGCAGCTCCAGCGGAAAGACGACGCGATGCGACACCTTGATGTGCCGATTGAACTGCTCCATGTACTTGAAGCGCTTTAAGTGCAGCGCCAGGATCATCGGCAGCTTCTTGACGCGCATCCGCTTCTGTGCCTCCTGGTAGCTGCAGCAATTGTCGCACTTGAACTTGTTATCGGAGCAGAGGGTCTCCGTGTTGCTGAAGCAGCGCAAGCAATGCGTTATGGACGTATTCTGATCAACGTCCACCTGCAGATCGAAGAAATTCTCGTCCTTGCTGCTCACCGTCTCACAGTTTAGGCAGCGTGTCTCTGATGTAAGTATTCCCTGGAAGATCTCGTGCACCCATGTTGGCTCCGTGTTGGCCCCGTTTGTTTGTGCGATGGGCGTGGTCGTGGCGGTTAGACTCCCATTTCCATCAAGCACACTCAACGAGCCGGTCGAGTTGCTGCAATTGCCGTTGGTTGCCGTCGAGTTGGAGGTCGAGGTCGATGTGGAATTTGACGAATTCGAGTTCGAGCTTAGCTTTGCTGTGGTGCTGCTGTTTCCTGGCATTTGGCCACCATTTGGGCCGGGAATGGCGCCACCAGCAGCCGTCTTCCCGGCGCTGCTTCCCGTGTTGCGTTCGGCTAGAATAATCTCGTTTATGTGATTAATCAGAAAGTTGAGAAACTCATGCGCATCCTGCTGCATATAGTTGTCGAACTCCTCCTTCTCCTTGCGCAATCGTGTTATAAACTTCTTGGGCGCTATCGAGCCGACCTTCTTTTTCTGCGTGGCAATGCTGTAGAAGAGATCGGCCAGGCACGAGAGCAGCGTCTCCTTGGGCCGCTTGTTCTTGGCCTTATATTCGAGCACCTTCTCGCGAAAGGGCTTGCAGAAATACAGCGCCTGCAGCACCGAGTTGCTATAGCAGGTGTTCCCAAAATTAACCAGCCCGAAGTAGTGCTCGTTCGGCGGAAACAGATCAGAGCCGATCTCGCGCTCCAGCTGCGACACGTTGGCGCCCATGGTAGCTACAGGTGCTGCCGCAGCACAGCGGTACAGAAAACCCCACACCGTGTTGTATGCTTAGTGTCGATTGTTAGGCAGTACTATTTACAGTTCATAAATAGGTGATCGTTATCGAAAGTTATGGTCAGAGCCTTGGCTCGATTTGGTATTGCCTACAGAGATTGCTTAATTTGGGTGGCAGATGCGCAAAACACTTTTCTATTTGTCTGAAAATAAATAATTTTGGAAGAGGGGATACACGTGAGTTTCTTTCGCATAACACAAACAACAAAATTATAAATATTTTAATGTTTACTGTGCTTCTTTTTCATTTGAATGCTTTGTTGTTTTTTTTTTCGCAGGGTGACACTAAAAACTAAGAATTTAACTGATAAAGAACTTTATAACTAAAATGGCAAACTTAAAAAAAAAACATTAAATCAAGTATGTAATATTCTATTCGCGAATATCCTCTCTCCAAAATATTTTCAAACAGTGTTTCGCTTTGCCCCGCTTTTCAATTATAGTTTATTTTTCTTATGAAATTCGAATTTTAAATTTTTGCATCAGTTTTAAAATAGTTTAATTATTAAATAAAAATTTGTAAAATACTTTAAAATTATTGGAATATTAAATTGCTTGGTAATTAACATTTTGGTTACGCATAACTTTAATTTATCACACTAACATTAAGTACATACATTAGTTATTAGTCAGAACTTAGGCAATATGATAAATCAAATCATGCAAAATTTTGACGTCAAATAGCACACGCCCTCGGCCATTTTTTTAGCGAGGCAAAGAGAAGGTAACATTGGTAAACTAGCTAAAGGTCATTTTCTTACTATCCAATACATTTATTTAAACTATAGACATGTGAATCATCTATCGCCAATAGCTAGTAGTTGATTTGAACGTGATCGATACATTTTGCATCTTTTAATGGTAAGAGTAGATCTTTTGATGACTGGCTGTACTAAAAATAGTGTCAATTTTATGGCAGTTAATTGTCAGTACGGTGATTTTTTTTTTTATTTATCCACTAGAAGTGCGCTGGGAAAATTCCGGGTAAGTGCAACGCCTCTCTGACGTGTGCCGATCTACCTTATGGCAACTTGTCGTGTGCCATGGGCAATGCACCGGACACCAGACGCTACTATAAAAGCCAAAGCCCGGGGTCCGATCAACTCTTAATTCCATTTACAACCATCGAGAAAATACACACAGCGCGAGACTCAGTGTCAACTAAACTGCACTTTTAGGATACTCTCAACTTCAGCCAATCTTCAAACTCAAGAAGAAGTTCAATAACTATATTTTCTGAACAAGGGGCACCCGATCGTTGGTACTCGTATCCTGAACTATACCAAGTTGGAGCAAATTCTAATTTCTTACGCTACTGAAACCAAACCATATGCTGTGCATCAGGAAAGTCTATTTCGCAGATCTGTGCGGTATCCAACCCAGCCAGTGAATTCTTTATCGGGAAAGCTGCTTAAAATTCTAGCCTAATTTTTCAAATTTCACGAAAAAAAAAACTATTTGTTACTAATACACTTAAGTTAAGCTTTAAGTCCTAATATTACCAAGTACCTGTAAAGCCATAATTATTATGTGCCATAAGCTTTAATATTTAAAGCCCATGTATAATTATTGAGTAAATGCGCTTGATAAGAATATATTCTCAATAAAGCACTAAAAAGACAACAGAGCCTGCCTTTTAATTGATAGTTATTGGAAAAACCTCAACTGCCAAAGAAAATGAGTTTCAAATTGAAGTGAAGCTTAATAAGATGTAAGTATACTCACACTGTCTTGAGCAATGTTTAGTGCAAAGATATTCAAACAAATAACTAGTTTTAAATTAAGATCAATCCTATATTTAAGGTCCATGGATAATTATTGAGTAAGTGCCCTTGATTTAAAAAAAAAATCTCAATAAAACACTAAAAAGCAAACGGAACCTGCCTTTTAATTGATGGTTATGGGAAAAACCTCGTCTGCCAAAGAAAATGAATTTCAAATTGATATGAAGCTTAATAAAATTTAGCTATACGCACACTGAGTTCCAATAAATTTCAGCAATTTTAGTACTTAAATATTCAATCAATTAACTAGTTTTAAAGTAAAATCAATCCTATATATTCCATAGATAAAGTATTTTTCCAACATTGCGAAATACAAAATCAGTTAATATTCGGTACGCTTTTAAAAGCTCTTAATATCCACCTATTCAATTAGGGATGGACCTTTTCCAAAACGTTAGCTACTATTTAAGTGCATTGAAACTTAACGCCCGGTGAGCTTTTTTTAATTTCTATGGGTATTTCTATGAATTCCTAACTATGCATCGACGACTATAAAACTCGCTGTGCTGTGGGGTAAGTAAACAGTACGCCAGGCAAAATGCAACTAGTTGTAAGTATCGGAATGTTAATAAAACTGTTTGGCAGGCGTTTATATGGATTTTTCTACAACTGCAGATATTCTTCACTATTCTGTTGGGGCTATCGTCTTTGAGTGCTCAGCCCTTAAATATGAATTTATTGAAAGCTATGGGTGACACATTAAATGATAATCAAATGAATAATGTGCTCCCAGTGCCAAGCACAATTGCAAATCCATCAGATGAACTCTTGATCGACCAATCAAAATCCGATCCAATATCAACTACTACATTAAAATCTAGTTCTAAAATTCGGACTTATGAAGTGTATGCTGTGAATATGACACATAAAAAAGTGACAACATTGAAACCTCCAAAATCCAATTGTTGCAATTCGATTTCCACCGCGAGCACTGAAGGAACAACGGAAAGCCTCAAATTAAATTCATCCATCACGATTTCTACAACGAGCACTGAAGGCAAAATATTTGACAATCGTCAAAGCATTACGACTGAAACGTATATTATCGAGCCTCGACCTATGCATATCGAGCCAAGATTGAGCGTCAAACTTTTGAAAGTACTCACGCTCCTGGGCTAAGGTTCTACTTGGCTCACTAACACAAATGTCTGTTAAAATAATAAATAACATTAATTTAAAATCGCTGCAGTTGTATTGTGTTTGGGTATACAAAACGATGGGAATTCTCAACAGCTTTATCCATATATAATTGTCGTTCTCGTATTGTACAATAATTATTTGAATTGCAAGTTAAGTTAAATATTTAGTGAAAAGTTTTCCAAAAGTCGCAGTGATTTTCCCCTCGATACATTACAGTGCGAAACGTGAATATGGCAAGGCTCGTTATAAAAATAGCAATTACTGTCAATCATTACTGTCGGTCAATGTAATTATGAATCGAGCTCAATACAAATACAAATAGAATCTTTCCGATTGAGGCTAAACTGGTTCTTCTAACCGTAGAACAAGCGATGCGGAATCGCTCATTCAATATTTGCTAATGGAAGCGTGATTCTGAACTTCTCAATTGCAACATCTGCGACCGGTCAAACCTGTTTGTAGTACTATGTGCAGTAGGAATCACAGTAAATATCGCCTTGCATATATCAAATAGTGATAGAAATAGTAGACGCTCAGTGCAATGTAAGAGCTTGAGCTAAAATGGTCAGCGGAATCACAGTTTAGCACCATTTGGATCGTTGTGAAATAGAGAAGCTAAGAAATGAACGGCTGGCAGATAATATGCTTCTTACTAGTGGTTTTCGCCTATATCGAGCACAATAATGCCGCCACCAAGGTGCTCTATGAATTCCGGTAAGTTTTCTACCAGATTGCTAAGAATCGACAGCAATAATTGTCCATACTCGTTCTCAGCATTCGCGAGGTTCACAGTGAACGCAATGAGACGGGCACGCTCAACACCTCGAGCAACAAGACGGGGGAGCCCGAACTGATAATCACAGGCAAGCGCAGGTCGCAATTGATACTGCCCGGCAAGGACTTGAATTCCAGCAGCACCGTCTACAATGAGCTGGTTGTCTATACGGCCGATGACAGCGGCTACCATGTCAAGTACAATATAAGCATAAGGCCACTCGACCTGGACATACGTCTCGGCGGGAAGACCCTTAAGGTGATCGTGGGCTAGCTGCGGAACTAGTATTATTTCATTGTAAGTGAAAGTGAGAGTAGCCAACATTATTTAACCCATCCTCAGAGTAGTATATTAATTAATTTATTTAAATAAATAATATACAGACTGGATCTGTTCTAAGCAATGAGAATAGAATTCCATCAAATGATCATCGATTTTGATTATCGAGATAATATTAAAAGAAAACAAGAATTTATGCAAGACTGGAATAGTCAGTGAATTTTAACAAGAAAAATCAATTCCTACCGTCTGAGAAGTTTCCTTTTGTTGCGGTTTCGGTAAATTCCTGGACCCAGGTCAATGTAAAACGCAATTTCTGGACAACACTTTTTCGGCAATTCAATAAGAAAAACAACCAGAGGCTGCTTTAATTAAAGACGCCAGTTGCTCAAAGTGTAGCAGAACTTTGCAAGATTGTTTTTCCTGTAAAGAGAGGAAATGAAATGAAGGGAATTATTAATTATACAAACACACAAACAGCTTAAGTGCGGAAAACACAAATTTTAATTATGTCCACATAGAACAACTGGCAAAGTCGTAGGCTAACTAAAAGTAAAATCGAGGCCCTGCAAAAACAAAACAAAAAAAAAAAAAAAAAAAAAAAAAAAAAAAAAAAAAAAAAAAAAAAAAAAAAAAAAAAAAAAAAAAACTAACTAAACAAAAATATGATGTTACCTTGTGGGTCAAGTGCGCGAGAAGTGACAACAATTACGCTGATGAGGCCCGACCATGTGAGTGTGAGGAGAACAGCAATATAATTGGGTCAGCCGGGCCATTGAGACGGAGACGGAGAGCAAATTTGTTGCAACCGTTAATAAAGCTAATTAATTAATCAAGAATCACAAGCTGCTGCCGCTGTTGATAAGCCTCCGCCCAAGTCAAAAATCGACGCATCGCTCAATTTGAGCTTAGTTTTCTTTCGACAACTAAACGGAACATATCTCACGTCGCAAAAAATAGTCCAATAATAATATGGAAAACTGGAAATGCTCGTTGGCAGGCTTTGCCCTGTTGTCGATCATTTGGAGCTGTGCTGGCACGCATCCTGTGGCCAACAACTACACCAACGACATACTGCGCCTCGCCAAGGCAGCCCACATTAAGGCCTACCTTAGCACGGAGGAGCCCCGGCCGTGCGACAACTTTTACAACTATGCCTGCGGCAACTGGCCGCGTCTGCACCCGGCGCGTCTCCACAACAAGAAAACGAACTATCTTGAGGAGCTGCAGGAGCTATTTGTGCGCAAGAGCGCAGATATGCTGAAGAGCACGAAACCTGGCGCCGACAGCAGCGCGGATCGTCTGCTGAAAAGCTTTTATAGCTCGTGCTATGCCCAGGCTAACAACACAGCCTCTGCTCTGGCGGCTCTGCTGCAGGTAACCGATTTCCGTGGCGGTTGGCCAGAGATCCGAGTGCCATCCTGGTACCATTATGAGTACGACTGGCTGCAAGTGGTGGCCATGCTGAAGCGTCGCTTGGGAGTGGACATACTCATCGGCCTCGACGTTGTGCTCGACTACAAGGAGGAGCGTATGCATCGACTCAAACTGGGAGCACCGCAACTGCCACTGGGCCATCGTCGTCAATATCTGGATGCAGGCTACCATGATGCACGCGAGCGCTACGAGCGCTCGATCAGAGAGAAGCTGGAGGCGTACTTTCCGGAGCAGCCGGACCGCTGGCATGAGGAGGTGGCGTCACAGGTTCTGCAGATTGAGCAGCAGCTGGCGAAAGGATTGCCACACAATGCGGCGCTTACGTTGGAGCAGACAACCCGACAACGTACGGCCGCCGAGATGAAGGCCGCCTATGGCAACTACGTGGATGTCAGCCGCTATTTGCAAATGATCTTCAACGATTCCATGTACGTGGATCTGTACGAGACGCCTGAGGATTACATGTCCAATCTGGTAGACGTGATTCGCAACACGCCGAAGCTGCATTTGGCCAATTATACCATTTGGCGCGCATTGGATACGCTCGACCAGGCACGTGTTCCGGCGACAGTCCAGCCAGGGATGTGGTGCGTGCAACTGGTGCGAAAGTACTTTCCACAGCATCTGGAGAGCCTGTTCCATCGTAACTACAACAACATGGACATGATCAACGAATTGCAGTCCACCTGGGCGGACATTAAACGAGTCTTCCGTGAGGATTTGCAGGCATCCACAGATCTGCACTGGCTCACGCTGGACACCCGCCAGAAGGCCATCGCCAAGCTGGAAGCGTTGGAGCTGCAGTTCCGCAATCACGATGACACCCAACTCATACGACAGATGCACGGCCTTCATCTGCATCCGGATCAGTTCTATCAGAATTTGGTGAGAGTCTTGCAGTGGCACACGCAGCGACAGCTATCGAAGCTGGTGGAGGAGCCGCAGCTAACGGACCAGGTGTATAAGGTGCCACACTACGAGCTAACCACCAACAAGATGCAAATACCCATCACTTTTCTTCAGGCGCGCTTCTTCTGGGATCCCGCCTATCCGAACGCCCTGAAATACGGCACGCTAGGCGTTTTGCTGGCTCGCCAGATGCTGCATGGTTTCGACGATGTGGGACGACACTTCGACCGACATGGCTATCGAAATAACTGGTGGGATGTAACCTCGGAGAGTTCTTTCGCCCGACGCGCTCAGTGTTTTCAGGAGCAGTATGCAATATTTGTGCAGTTCAGGGACAAGCCCGTCAAGGACAAAGGTCTACTGAGCCGAATTGTCGCCGACAACGGAGCTCTAAATATCGCATATCGCGCCTACACAAAATGGCTAAAGAACTCGGCCGAAACGCCCATCATCTATCAGCGGGAACGTTTGCCATTGCTCGATCACTCGGAGAACGAGCTCTTTTACTTGGCCTATGCCCAGCTCTACTGCTCCGACTACCCGGATTCCCTGGAGATCTTCGATGAGCTACCCGAACAGCTGCGTGTCAACACAGCGCTCTCCAATTCGGAGCAGTTCGCGAATGCCTTCAGGTGCTCCAGAGACGACAAGTTAAATGCCCGCTTCAAGTGCACACTCTATTGAATGGCTATTCACATCATTTTGTATTTGCGACACATATCCATTACACAAATTTAATAAAGCTTTGCACATTTGAAACTCTTTTTAGCCCATATGAAATAGTTGTCCAGTCTTCGACAGACAAGATTCCTCCACATAGCAAACATAGACTTTGAGTCCAGCATTGTAGCCTTGTATTTCCATTCCTCCGCTCTTATGCTCTCTCGTGATAACCCGCGATGAACTGCAGACTTATCAGCACTACTTTACGGCCGGATCGAGCAACGAATGCTGACAGTTTACAGCGACCCAAAGATGCAGCAGCATGTCAGAAACAGGCTGTTCAAAATCTCTCTTGCTGCTGATTCTGTTACTTGCGTACCTCGGCCAGGTGCCTGGTGAGGGAGGTGCGTTTCAGCGCGTTTTCCAGACGGAGGAGACGGTGCGTCAAAACAAGGCGCATGAGATGCGTCGTCAGATGAACCTTCGCGCCAGTCCCTGCAGCGATTTCTACGAGTATGCCTGCGGCAATTGGGAAACGGAGTCCACGCCGCTGGCCAAGCTGGAACACCGCATAGATGTGGATTTGATGCGACTGCTGGAGGAGAGTGCACATCGCAAGGACAGTGCTCTGGCACGTCAAGCCAAAGAATTCTACCAATCCTGCCTTGTGGCCCGGGCCCATCAGAGTCAGCAGCAGCAGGACTTTCTCAGCGATTTCATTCAGCAAAACGGTGGCTTCCCAGCCGTTCCAGGCTCGAAGTGGGCTGCATATAACCTGGAATACAACTGGGCCCAGGTAACGGGCCGACTGCGACGACACTATGGCATGGATATCCTCATAGGGCTGCGCGTCAGCTACAACTATGTCAGCGTGCAGGAGAATAGTATCTACTTAAGTGAGCCGACCACCTTAATACCCAGGGAACTGTGCACCAAACGCCACCTCAATGAACGCGATTCGGCATATAAGGCGATCGAACGGCTAGTGGCCAACCAACTTAAGACCTGGCTAGCAATGGGCAATGAGGAATCCGCTCGACTCGCAGGCGAGATTGTCAGCTTGGAACATGAGCTGTGCGGTGGAATGCATGGCCTGGAACCTTGGAATGCCGAACAGCAGCTCTACACGGCCAATTTTACCCGAAAGACACTATCTGAGCTTGCCCAGCTCTACGATCTAGATTTCAAGACATATGTGAGCAGCATCTACGATCAGACTATCTTCAGGCCCGTCTACATGGCAGCTCCTGACTATTATCGCCAACTGAAGCGCACACTGAGTATCCGCAATGGTACCCAGATAGCCAACTATGTCATGTATCGGGCAGTCGCTGCCCTCATATTTCCGCTAGAGGATAAGCCGGAGCACAGGCCAGCCTACTGTTTGGCCACGGTTAAGCGCCTTTTGCCAGCTGCTTTGGGCGAGCTGTATGCTAGTCAGTATGTCACTGAGGAATTTAGACTTCAGCTGCTTCAGCTTTACGACCAGTTGAAGGATGCACTAAAGCGGAGCGTGAGCGCCGACTGGCTGGAAGAGGGCAGCAGACGCGTTGCTCAACGTAAGCTAAGCGATCTACAATTATTACTGCCAAGTTACGAGCAACCTCTGGCACTGCGGCTAACTCTGGACCGAGGCAACTATTGGCACAATCTACGTCAGCTTTTGGATGAGGTGCAGGCACAGCAGCTAAAGCGCCAACTTGAGGAGAGCCCGCCAATGCCAGCCGATCCTGTGGAGGCCTATGAAACTCGGGTGCACTACCGGCCTGTCCAGCGGCGGCTTGAAATGGGCTGGGCGCTGCTGCAGCCGCCCGACTACGATGAGCGCTACGGCCATGCCCTGCGCTACGCTACAGTAGGAACCGTGCTGGCACGGCAGATGGCCACGGCTTTCGACGAGCTGCATTGGTCGATTGGCCTGCTCGAGCACGACAACTGGGACCCACTGACGGCTTATAGGTATCAGAATCGAAGTGAATGTTTTGGACGCCACGTGGAGGAGTATCTGCAGCACAATTCAACCGCCACACAGCTGCTAATAAATGCCAGTGCCGGTCTGAACATTGCCTTTAACGCCTACCTCACATGGCTGGGCTTGCAGGCACCCAACAATGACTTCGTGCGTCTTACTAAGGAGACCCTGCCCGGGCTGAACTACTCCAACACAGCACTCTTCTTCCTAGCCTTCGCCCAGCAACACTGCAATCCGAAGGAGCAGCATTATGGCGAGCCCAATTTATGGCCTACGATCACGTATAGTTTCCGACAATCGCACAGCTGGACTCGTCTAGCAGTAAATGGGCCCTTAAGAAACTTGGCAGATTTCGCACGTGAATTCCATTGCCCAGCCGGATCACCAATGAATCCTTCAGAAAAGTGTACCATTTACTAATGCAGCAGCCAAATTCATTGTAAAAAATATTGTACTGTATCCTATGTTAAACATCACACAACACCTAGATAGACTAGTTATTTCTTTCGTTTAAGTATTTTTTACTGACTATTTACAATAATAATTCCCAGCCCACAGTTAATTTAAGATAACAATTATTTATAGATACCATACATTCAAATGGAGGCGAGTGGGTGAAGATAAGAATTATGTTTCCAAAATGCCTGAATTTAGCGATATTGATATCGACGTACTTCATATGTGGAAAAGCAATGTGAATAAATATATATTCATTTGAATAAAGCTGCAGAGTTATATACATATATTGTTTATTTATTCAATTTCGAAACAGTTGCAAATGGTCGACGTGCAAGGTCGGTTTTGTTTACTTCCCTTCCCGGCCTTAGAGCGCGTCTCTACGGCGATAACCCTAGGAACTGGGCCTCAGTCGGCCAACTTGACCCAATGCGTCAAGTTCATGAGCGAAACGATAATAGCGGCGCTCATCTTTCAGCGCCGGGCTCAGTCGATTTTTGAACGCTAAAATGGGCACTACACGAGTTGCTCTATTTCTGTCACTATTTCTGTCTCACCTTGCCGGGAAAGTCTACGGGGCCGGCACACAATACAGGTACAACAACGTAAATCGCGCGGGCATGCAGGCAGGTATTCTGCCGCAGGCCGCCGCCATGCCCAACCACGGCAACAACAACGTTGAGAGCCGCCAGGAACAGAAAGTGCGCCAGACCATGGCCAGAGACATACACAAGTACATGAATCTGAGCGCCGATCCCTGCATGGATTTCTACGAGTACGCTTGCGGAAACTGGGGACGGTACCACAGTCGCCAACTGCGCGCTGGTGAACTGATCACGGCCCAGCACCTGGTCGAGGCGCGCATAGCGGAGCAGCTGCAGGATTTGCTGACACTCCCGTTGCCACCGCAGCACCATCCCAACGAGTACAGCGCAGCGAGCGCGGCAAATGTGCGCAAGGTGCGCAGCTTCTACGATTCGTGTGTCGCCGTGGAGGCCAACACTGCCGAGCGGCGACAATTCCTAATGAAGATTCTGCGGGAACATGGCGGACTGCGCAATGTGCCCAATTCGAACTGGAAGCCCGACTATCACTGGCTGCAAATGCTGGCAGCGCTGCGACGCAACTATGGCCTGGATATACTAATCGGCCTGGATGTGGACCTCAATCTGCAGCAGCTGCGCGGCAACAGTATTTACCTGGGCGAACCCCGCCTGACTATCATACCACCGGAGCACTGCAGCGCAATAGCCACGCGGCAGGCGAATGTGCGCGACGAGATCTACGAGCAGATCCAGCAGCAAGTGGCGGCTAACATGCGAGATTGGTTCGGCATGGAGAGTGGCGAGGCAGCACGTTTCAGCGGCGACATTGTACGCTTTGAATTTGACCTTTGCAAACGCATGCGAGAGGAGGAAACCCTGCCGGGGACCGAGCCCGGCAATCAGCAGGAATCAGCCCAGGCTCCCGTTTACGGCGGACGTTCACGCATCGGGCAGGAGAGATTGCGCCAGCAGCCCGGCGGTAGCTCACTCTATCCGCGAATGACACTGACTGAGCTGACCACCAAGCTGAGCAACTGGCTTGATTTTAAGCTCTTTGTCGAGAGCATTTTAGAGGACGCCTATACGGAACATGTGTACCTGCGCTCCCAGAGCTATCTGACACACCTGGTGCGCACAGCCAAAGCCAACAATCCGATAACAATTTCCGGTTACATTATATACAGGGCACTGCTGGAGCTGAACCAACCGCCAGAAGAGCAGGCGATGCGGCGTCCACGTCAGTGCGTCCATGTGATGCAGCGGCTCTTCCCGCAGGTCCTGGGCGACATGTACCAACGCCACGTGCAACGCGACGACGCACAGCATGACATGGAGCAGGTGTTCAGCGACCTGGTGAAGGCCTTTGAGCAACTGCTCAAGGTTGACTGGCTGGACGAAAGTGATCGACGGACGGCCAGGACCAGATTGGCCCAATACCACACCCAGTTGCCAGACTACCAAGGCGTCGATCTCTCGGGTCTGCAATACCAGAAAAACGAAGACTACTGGCGAAGGCTGGAGACGACACTGCGATTCAATTCTCGTGAATATCTAAACACGCTGCGGGGCAATGATTTTGCGCAGATCCCCGAGGGCACGTTGAATGCCTTCGAAGTGCGTGCAGCGCTGGTGCCTCGCCAGCAAGCGGTGCTCGTGGGCTGGGGTCTAATGCAGGAACCCTACTACAGCTACTACTATCCCAAGTCGCTGAAATATGCGCTGCTGGGACAACGACTGGCCAGCGCACTGCTGCAGGCCTTTGACGACGAGGGCTGGAACAGACACCCCCAGGCGACGGCGCCCTGGAACGAGCTGACAATGGCCGGCTACCGGAACGCCACCGAGTGCCAGCGTGCCCAATACAGCAATTACCTGTCGAATCAGCCCAGCGAGTTCCGCAATGCGACGCGCCTGAGAGAAATCATCGCCGAGGGCGGGGCTCTGAATGTCGCTTTCAATGCGTACTTGGGCTGGCTGGAGCTGGTCCATGGCCTGAAACCTCTGCTTTTCCGAGAGACGCTGCCCGAACTCAACTTCACCAACACGCAGCTTTTCTTCATATATTTTGCCCAGCTTCGCTGCTGGGCCAAGCCGGACGAGCAGCCCGCATCCGAGGCAATGCCCCTCATGCAGCACACACCCCAACGCTGGGATGTCAACGGGCCACTGAGTAACTCGGAGGAGTTCGGACGGGAATTCGGCTGTGCACTGGGCACCCACATGAACAGCGGCAACAAGTGCCTAATTTTTTAAGACAACAATAGCAAAAAACTTAGGCAAGATAAGTTCGCGAAGGTAAAATTAAGACTAGACACTTAAGAGTGTTCCACTGAGATATACCCCATTTAAACATATTCTTAAACCCATTTCATCTGGTTACAATCAAGGCACATTTTATTAAATATTTAGCAAAAAGAGTAGCAAAAGCCTCCTTCTACTTGTGTGTTTTGGGTTTCCGGCAAGGGCGAGACTGAACAGCAAGAAAAATAAATTAATATAAAAAGCTGGGCTTACACTTCTATATATATATATATATATATATATATATATGTAAATATATATGCATGACGGCGACAATCGATGAAGCGTGAGATGAGATTCGGGTTGAAGGCAGAATTAAGCACTTAAACACGCAGCGTCAAGATGCAAAAACAGAAAAATACAATTGCCACATGTACATGAGTATAAGTTTCAATATATAAATACCTACATCTGCGTACTTGTACTCGGGTGTAGATACAAAAAAAAAACTCCGAATGTGGGTCGTTGTTGGCCTTAAAATGTCAATCGGTTACTTCGACAGCAACTATTCAATATAGGGGTTTGTGACTCACGTATTACCGTCTTAGGGATAGGATACGGATTATGTTACAGACTCGAGGGCTAAGTCTGAAAGTTTCAATGGATTTCCTTTCACAGAAATTGTACATTTTGTTTTTTGATATGTAAAATTCATTTTTATAGACGTTGGTTAACCGTCAAGTCAAATTAGCATTATTATCGGTAAAATTATTCATTTAGAACGCCTCAAGCGATCGATTTCAACTTCATTATGAAATTATAAACACATCGTATCAAATAAATGTATGTTTATATTATAAATAAAGCTGTATGTGAGCGTATCTGAATTCTCTTCACTAAAAAAAAAACCTTGTTGCCGCAGTATTAAATTACGACAAATAAACACAGTGCGGGGTCCAATTATTTATACAACAAAAAGCCTGAATCATATTGAAGTAGAGAAGCAAGCTAAGCTATAAACAAGCATATTCGCAAGTCAAATTAGAATAAATCGAGTACAGATCACTTTTCCAGCAAATATTTATATACTCGTTCAATGTTCAATGGCAATACATAAAAAAGAATTTCTCTCTCGAGTATTTATCATTATTCATTCATCTTTAGCCACATATTTATGTAAAACCTTTCATGATCTACTCTGACGCGGCTTTAATTATTGTGAAAATGTTATTTAAAAGCAGCTGAAATGCATTCAAGTTATTATGTCAGCACCTGACTCACAATTGTAATAAAACAATGGATCCCTCCATGCAGCAAAGGTGCAAAGACCAGAAATAAACTAGTCGCCAGAGCTGGCAAACTTAAACAACTTAATAAATCAAATATACAAATCCCCAAATATATCAAACATACAAAAAAACATATAAGTTCTCAAAGCGATCGTCCCAATTTCTTCACACAACTCGAAGACTAAGAGCCCCGCCCCTGCACATATTTTAATGATCCCACCGACTGGATTCCAGGGCGATTCCCTACTCTTCTGCTGGCTTGGCATTTAACATAATACGCTATTTGATTTATAATTTTAGATCTCAATTCTGAAACGAATATTTATTTTCAATGAGCAGCAACAAACAGACGCTTCTGTTCCCATTTTCAAGTGGTAAGCGATTGGGAGTCCATTAATCCTAAATGTTTTAGATGTGCAAAGGACAGGTGAAATACTTGGACTTCATATATTAGAATATAATTAGTTTGAAAATAAAATAACGAAAATAACTAACTGCGATAGAGTCTGACTGTCAATTCGTTCGTTTCGTTTAGAGTTAGGAATAATTATTATCTGTTGCGCCAAAACACACACACACAAACAAGCACTCACAAGCCATGTGGGCGATGATGACGCCTTCGCAGGCTCATATATGGCCCACAGATTTGAGTAATAACACTTTACATACGGTTTTGGCAAGCATTTAATAAAGAAATTTATTTCTCCATTCAATTATTGTTTTTGCTTATTGTGTACCAGTTACGAATGCCTCCATATTTATCATCGACTTCTGACAAAACAGATTGTCCCAAATATAAAATTGTATTTTCCATTACATACATATATAAATATTTATTTTGTTTTATTTTATTGAGGTGTTCTCATTAGGGCCACTGAAATAGAGAAACCAATAAAAGGAAAACATTACCAACAATTTAAATTGGTTTTTAAGGGAATTAAACCTCTAGACAACAGAAAATGTTCACATGATAATGTGCTTGAATTAAGAATATAGAAAATAGCTCCCATTAACCGACACGTCAATTGCGACATTACCGAGCCCCAAAACAGCTGGTTCAAGAGGGAGTGTGAGAGAGAGTGCGCGCGAGAGAGAGAGAGAGAGCGAAAGAGAGATAGAGAGCAGGGGCGCACACATGCATATTCAATAACGAACAGCATCGATTTTTCAAAACAAACCCAACCTTTTGTCTGCGCAGAGTTGTATTCAAAAATTATTTTGTACAGATTATGTTTCCATGAACAGCTGCAAACACAATTAAGGAAAATAATGTTAGCAAAATATTTCCAATATAAATAACACTTTGCAACGCACTTGACTTTTCTGTGTATGTATGTATTTGTATACGATTTTCAACTGATAAGGAGCTCGAACGCATTTCAATGGGGCTGCACGATATTATACTTAGGTAAGATAATATTTTGTAACATTAAAAAAAGAGGAACACTTGCAACTTAATCGATTTGCCACACACAAATTTCTTTGGCACTTGCCTTAATAGATTACTGTTAAAATGCACTACGCACTGGAAATTAAATTCTCAACACGCCAAGAGAGCCAACGATATTATATGGAGTGGGGGTTTGCTTATTGGGTTTGCGGGTGTGGTGAATTCCGCAGAATGCGCGTTTTACACTGTATACACTTATCGATTTATCAATAGGTAGCAAAGGCAAGTAATTTTACATTTTGAATAAAGTTTAGTCCACTTATTTGGCATAATATTAAACTATTTTTAAATTTTACTATTTCCAAATGAAATTAATGAAACAAACACAACGAGCGAACGAACGAACAAACCCAACAAACGGGCGACGAGCAACCGTCGATGTGGGGCGCTGCTTTGTAACTCATGAAGGCTCTCGCACTCTCGCCTACTCTCGCTCCATGGCTCTCCATGGCGCTGCCACAACATAGGCAGCGACGTCGACGCCTCTTCAGTCGCATAAATTGACCAACATAAAAGCATAAGCAGAGTAACAGCCAAGCAGAAGAGAGTGCGAGAGAGCGACTTCTTAGTCACCCACTGGGAGGGAGTGCGTGCATTTAAAACAATGAAATTTGAGCACTTCGGATGACACACCACCAGAATACCTGATAAGCGCGGTACGCTCTACAGTGTAGAGCGTGCTGGAAACACAATATCATAAGAGAGCAAATCAGAAATATGTTTATATAATTGCAATTACATGTGGTAATAAACACATGTAAATAACACCATACATATGTAAAGAAAATCTCGATTACGAAAAATAACTGCATTTCAATTTGAGATGTAGGTTTTAAGAGAAGTTTATACATGTAATTGGCTCTGATCGAGGGCAATATTAGCCTGACGAAATACTACCAATTGGCACAAAATGCCAAGCATTTCCAATGCGCAGGCCCATAACAAAAGAGCTTAGCATGATGACTTTGGTGTTGAGCTTGGAGTTAGGGGTGGCTTTGCACTAAAATCCAAGAATATAAATACACACTTGCATGTATGTGTGTATCAATGTTCATGTTACAGCCACAGCAGGTAAGCAATCTCTACATTGATTGTTCCGCCAAGGTGGCGGTGGGGCAAGAAACTGACGCTGGGCCACCCAGAGGAATTTTTACTTTATGACACATAATCAAGACTGCATGGCTGCGGATAATAGTTGACGCTCGAAACATACGATAATAATTATGGAACAAAGATAAGAGGGCTGCGATTGCATAAACTAATTAGGACATTTTGCGGTGTTTATTAAGTTAAATAAGTCATTAAAATCCTCATACTGCGTTATGAGGTTCGGCTCTAAAAAAATGTTCCATACATGTGTTGTTATGGTACTAAATTATGATTGTACAGGTTCTACACTTAATAATAATAAACAAAAAAAAAAGAAAAAGTCATTGACTTCATATTTGCAATTTTAATAAAGTCTCGTCTGCTTAAATAACAACAAAATGCACTTCTATATGTAAATACATAACTTTATGTTTAATTAAATATGAAAACAAAAATTAAATAAAAAATGAAATATGAACAATATTTGAAAAGGTGGAAAAACTTATTTGAAATATGTTGATTACTTTGAAAATGGAAAGAGATAAACAGAGACGTGATAAAAACAAATGTGACACCAAAGCGCATGAGACACCGAAAGCAAAGACGTTGACTGAACGAACAAACGAAACAAAGCGGAACGGAAGCTGAGCTCAAAGCAAACCGAATGCGCGAGCGAGTTAAATTAAATCACAGCAGCAGCTGCACCCCCCGACACCCCCCGACGCACAAATACTTGATATAAGCCGTTAACACAAACAAATCGACAAACAACTGGTATTTCTCTCATATGGTTTAAAGTCACTATTGAAAATAAGCAAAATTTGCAGCGCCCAATATGAAAGTTCAAATTGTATTTTGTAACTGAAGAAATAAAAATAATATTATAAAAAGCTTGCCTTAAATCAATTAACGCTGAAAATTTAGTAAATAACACACACATGCAAACATTTACATGAACAATACAGAAATACAGATGTGCCATCTGTATGTGTGCGCGCACACATATATATATATATATATATATATATATACATATATATATATATATACAAAGGTGCACCTACAGGTTGATTGGATAAAATTACCTCTTTTGCATTGAATTGTATTAGGCAATTATCTCAACAATCATCTGGTGCGCTGCTGCTGCTGCGTTCGCCAACGCCTTTGCCTCCCACCTTGTTGCAAATTCCACTCCACTCCTCTTGCAGTTTTCCAATGTGGAACGGTTCGTGTTAAGTTGTGGGTACACAACTTTCGTTGCCAAAATTACGTTTTTTGTTGAATTTGGTTTTTTCTTGTTTTTCTCTTTGCGTGCTTCTCCCGCTGTTCAATAATTTACTTTTGAATAAATACTTGAGTATGCGTTGCAGTTATGTCAACTTTGACTGCTATTTAATATTCGATTCGCTTCGTTTTGTGTTGTTGCAAAATTCGTTTATAAATTATGGACAATGGAATGAATATACACCCGCGCTTGATTCGTTTTACGTGTTTTCGATTTGACAATATGCCACACGCATAATTAAGCGATCGCAGAAAGAAAAGTCGTTTTATTGAATTTTGTCGTCAGTAATTTGGCGTGTAAATTTAATATTAATACGGAAACTTTCGACGTAGTGTTGGCTGTTTTTTCATTTTGTAGCAACCAGTGTGCACACACTCCGCGAGTGCCTAAAAGCAACTCTATTGGTAGCTGTTACCAAATTAGTGTGACCAGAGTACGACTTGTTCAAAGAGTTTCGATGTTTTTGACGCACTACTACCTTCAATACAGCCAACGGTCCGCCTAATTGCGTAGCAGTTGTATGCAACAGAACGCTAACTTTAGTTTTTCTTACGATGGCAAATGTAATCGATAACTTTTCGCGTAGCGGCAGGCCATTTGTTTATTCGAAGAATGAGCAATAATGTTTTATTAATTATATTAATAATAAGTTTAAGCAACTCAGGCAATGGGACACAGAAGACACAATGTGACGGTGCTGAACACACAACTTGTCGTGAAACCGATGGAATAGACCCAAATCAGGTCGCAAGTATGTAGTAAACCAGCGCTGCTTGAATTACAAAATTAATTTAAATCATTTCAATGTGTTTTAGAACATTCTAAAATTACTCAGAGCATACAAAATGCTTTAGCCAGCTATGAGCCATGCACTACTGATGTAAATGACGTTAATTGTACCTGCTACGCCGCGGGTATCAAACGCGACCTGGCGCCGTATAAATCAACAGGTGTCACCCGAAAAATGATTGACGACGCCGCGAAGTATGGCACGCGGTACAAAATCTATAATAAGCAGCTGTACCGTGATGACAATTGCATGTTCCCCGCACGCTGCCACGGAATTGAGCACTTTCTTCTACAGTTGCTGGCCGAGCTACCCAACATGGACTTGGTGATCAACACACGAGACTATCCGCAACTGCATTCTGCTTGGAGACACGATGGGCCAGTTTTTTCCTTCTCAAAGACGAACGAGTATCGGGACATTATGTACCCCGCCTGGACGTTCTGGGCAGGTGGACCTGCCACCAAATTGCATCCAACGGGCATCGGACGCTGGGACTTAATGCGTACAAAGCTGGAGAAGCGCTCATCAAGTTTATCTTGGCACGATAAGCAAGAACTTGGCTTCTTTCGCGGCTCACGCACCTCGGATGAGCGCGATTCGTTGATATTGCTTTCGAGGCGTAAGCCACACCTTGTTGAGGCACAATACACTAAGAATCAGGCCTGGAAATCACCTAAAGATACTCTTGATGCACCACCGGCAAGTGAAGTGTCCTTCGAGGATCACTGCAAATACAAATACTTATTTAATTTTCGCGGTGTGGCTGCTAGTTTCCGTCTGAAACATCTTTTTATGTGCAAGTCGCTTGTGTTCCATGTAGGCGACGAGTGGCAAGAGTTTTTTTACCACCAACTGAAGCCCTGGGTCCATTACGTGCCACTGCATAGTTATCCCAGCCAGGAAGAATACGAAGAATTGCTAACCTACTTTAAAAACAATGATAGCCTGGCCCAGGAAATAGCTCAGCGTGGCTATGACTTCATTTCGCAGCATCTGCGTATGCAAGATGTAAAGTGCTATTGGCGCAAGCTGCTGAAACGCTACAAAAAACTGATTAAATACGATATAGAACCCGATGCTAAAATGCAACGTATATGGGGTTTCAAGGATGAACTATAGTTAGATATTTAACTTTTATCTTAATCTTTAATGTTAATTTTTGTAAGAATTACTGAACAATAAAATAAATATTTCACGTTCGGCGTGCATGAAACATCTTTTATATTAGCTTCAGTCGTTTGTTATTTTGTTTTATTATAGCATTTTTTCATTGTTCATTAATTACATTCGATAATGAACAAAAGAACAAATGCATCAATTTTCTTACAGCTAAAATATCTCAGAATGAAGTAATAATACCATGATTCGACAAGTCAAATCAAATCCATAATAAATGATGGAGGAACGTCTTAAAGATAAATACGAAATATGGAACGCTGGGTGACTTTCTTGTTACATAGAGGACACTTGTGAGTTGACTGTACGGCAGTTAGGATGCAGTTTTTACAAAATATGTGACCGCAGCGAGTCGAAGAAGGTTCACGCTTACGCACGCTATCCAAGCAAACCGGGCATTTATACGATTCATCGCATGGCTCAGTTTTCTCAACATGCCTTTGCTTTGGCGGAGAGACACCAACTCCTTTAACGTCCTCGACAACTACGGGCTGGTCGCTGGACGTATTTAATAACCGACGCCGGCTGACACAGGATTGTGGTTCATTAGAATCCGCTAGATTAATGTATGTTGGAAGTTGGCGTCTTGGCTCTGGTGAGCATAGATCTATGATAGCATCTGGAGCAAGACTTCTTGCAGATCGGGGAATCGGATTAAATTCAATGTTTGACAGATCAATTAAATCTACGGGTTGGTCTGTAATTAGATGAAATTAGTTCCCGGTCAATTCCTAGTCTTGAATCAATCAGACTTACTGCTGGTTTCGGGTATACTATTCCTGCGTCCAATAATGTTTCTTGGTACTGAATTGTTACCCTCGGGTCCCAAGCCAGCTTCAGCTAAATTATTTTCAACGTCCTCACAGAAAAGTCGAACTAAAATATTTGGGAAGGTATTTCATGTAAACGTGTAATTATGAATATATTTACTGCTGGCTATTTCGGCTTCTATGAGCTCATTGCGCAGCGATTCTTCCAGCGCGAGCTGCCAACCGTCATCTGTTAAATCCAATGTTGGAGGCGAAGAATCTCTGAATGGTGGTCGGCCAGCATTGAAACTAGAGGGCGAAATGTCCGGGGTCACATTAGGTTCGCTAATATTGTCAGAGCTTGAGTTTTCCATTTGCCCGTAGATGGGAGAATGAGAGCTAACTATGGAATCGTTTGCAGTTGTCTGTAAATGGTGCACAATATTATTGAGGGCTCTATTTCAAGCAAATTGAATAAACCTACCGGTGACGGGACTGACTCCGAAAGAGAAATATTCCAAATACCTGACATTTTCTGTAAGCAAGACATGCAAAATTATATCAAAACTAGCATTCCAGGCGGCTATAGGCAAAAAAAATGTTATCGAAAAGCAGCTGTTCGACACCTATCGCATCTCCGGCAAGTAGAAAGTGTTGTAAAACGAAACGACAATTGGCATTTATCGATATGCCACACGTCACGTCAAAACAAGAGAAAGACAATTGCAATCATGGACAAGGATAAATACACGCTTCAGTCTATTCGGCAAGATTTGATTGATAACAATCTGCAAGCCAAGGCCATTATACAGGTAAATGATAAGTTCAAGCTATACATTTACTTGTACGAATCCCCAATTTTTAGGACATCCTTAACAGCAGATCTTCTATCGGCGAACTGGAAGAGCTCAACGAAGCGGGACGTGCCAAATTGTCTGCGATTCGCAAAAACATTGAACGGCTGGACGATTGGGCACGGGACATGGCCGATCCCTCGTTGGCCATAGAGGTGGACACGCATCGCGAGCAATTTTCCAAAACTTTACAAGCATTCCGCAAGGCCAACGTCTCCACAATGCTGGAAATCGAGAAAGCCAACCGTGAAGAGCTCATGGCCATCACGGGAGAAAGTGATCTGAGACAGCGCACAACGACAGGGGCGCGGCACAACCGGGGCAGTCTTGTATCGCAGGAGAACGACGTCACCGAGAAAATGCTGGCCATATCGCGGCATCTATCGGAGACAACACAGAAGAGTGCGGTTACTCTGGAGACCCTCGTTGCTTCCTCCCAGAACGTGGAGGCCACCAACGATGAGCTACACAATACGGCTGGGAGTATCACACAGTCGGGCAAGCTGCTAAAGAAATATGGACGGCGCGAGTGTACCGATAAGATGTTGCTGTTCTTCGCCTTTTGCCTGTTTCTTGCCTGTGTCTTTTACATTGTGCAAAAGCGACTATTTTAGATTATTAACAGGATCTGCTTTGCAGCCACGTGCAGACACCTTTCAAGTAATTTATTAATGTAGTTGGTATAGGAAGATTTCGTTATGTGTAGAATGCTTCGCTAATTTAAGAATTAATTGTACAGGCACATATTTAAACGCAATAGGAAAACATATTTATTTAAAGCGACACATTTTTTATTAATTCGAAATGTTGTTAGACTATGCTAATAGGGACATCGAGGAACACTGCCGGGATTTGTGAAACCATTCGTGTTAACCATGCGGCAAATGTCCTTATAGGAACGCTGATGCTCTTGTGATCTGGCTCTCGATCTTTGAGGCTGTCCATAACTTTGGTCGTAATACCCTTGATATGACCCACCTTGATATGCTGCTGGATAATAATACCCGCCTCTCGGTTCACTTTGAAATAGTTGATCAAACACGGTTTTTCCGCTGATAGAAGCCATCGTACATAGCATGATAACAATATATGAAAATAGAATGTACATTTTCTATTTTTGCACGATACGGGAAATAAAAAGATCTGACTTTGAATGAGACGATTTCAAAATATGTTGTGCTACTTATGAGATTTTTGTAACCTTGCGCTATTTTGAAAAATATTGCTGTCGCGAGCTACAACTGATAACAACTGATTTAAAAGTGAAATTGAGTAAACTTGACGTTATCCAACACTGCGTGCCGGTGTACAACAGCTGACAGCACTGTCCCGAGTTTGAGTTTCTTTTGTTTTAGTTTATAAAATTGGCGGAATATATAAAACTACGCATAACATGAATCGCACCGAGCAGACGTTTGAGGATCTCAAGTCGTACTTTCGATCCCACAGTAAAATACGCGAGCAGCGGCCACACATGTCAAAGGTGGGTATAAAGCCATTTGGTCTGTCGGCGGCATTTAATTGGTTTTCTTTTCGTAGGTGCATTCGGTGTGCTGGAACGCAAATGGCTGTCACTTGGCTTCCGGATCATTTGACAAAACTGTCGCTGTTTACGCCTTGGAGCGCGATCGCTTTGTCAAGAGCAACGTCTTTCGCGGCCACACTGCGTCCGTGGACCAATTGTGTTGGCACAAAACGAATCCGGACCAGTTCAGCACGGCCAGCGGCGACAAGACTGTGCGCATTTGGGACATACGGGTTGGCAAATGTGTTTCAGTTACCAACACCAAGGGCGAAAACATAAATATCGCCTGGTCACCGGACGGTAAGACAATTGCTGTGGGCAACAAGGAGGATTTGATAACATTCATAGACACGCGCACAAACAAAATACGTGTGGAGGAGCCCTTTAGCTTTGAGGTCAATGAGATATCGTGGAACAACACGAACGATTTATTCTTTCTGACTAATGGCATGGGCTGCATGCACGTACTTAACTACCCCAGCCTAGAGCACCAGATGACGCTAAAGGCACATCCCGCCAATTGTATATGCATTGAATTCGGACCGACAGGTAGGTGGAGGGTGTTTAAAAATAAACTTTGTAAAATGGTCTTGATCGCAGGCAAATACTTTGCGACGGGATCGGCGGATGCGCAGGTTTCGCTCTGGGATGCCAACGAATTGGCCTGCCTGCGCATGATTAGCCGCTTGGAGTGGCCCGTGCGTACCATATCTTTTAGCCATGATGAGCGACTCATAGCCTCCGCCAGCGAGGATCTGGTCATAGACATTGCCTACACAGAGACGGGCGAGCGAGTCACCGACATTCATGTGGACGCGTCCACCTTCACGGTAGCATGGCATCCCAAGCAGTATTTGCTGGCCTATGCCTGTGACGAAAAGGAAACTATTGGTGATAGGCGTCGTGATGTTGGTAACGTGAAGATCTATGGATTTCCCGAGTAGCTCCGGATTTCAAATAATACAACTATAAGAAGTATGCGTGTTTTTTGACTAGTAACAATTCATACAATTTGCGCATATTCAACGCATTCATTTAGATATTAATGACTGTCTAAAACATTGAACGCATTTAACAACCATCATGTTCTTGATTGTTTATATTAAGCAAATAATGTAGGGAAAATAAAAATGTAATATTTCTTTCTGAATTTAAATTTTTTAAATTTAATATTAATTATCGATAAAGTAAGCGATGAGAATTTTATGTTGTACAGATATCATACAAAATATGTTTTGATATCCACTGTCTAAATAATAATTTAATAACGTCTTCAAACAAAATAGCATAAAAGCCACAAATAATTTAAGCTAACAATGCTGCTGACCGGGATAAGATTAAAGTTCCTTACGATGTGGTCGATATTAGGGAAAATAGACATGCCAATTGGCAACACGAAAAATTAACCGAGTAATACTAATTAAACGAATGAAAGTCGAAAACTTCGTTTTAGTTACCTGACTTAAGTTGAGTTGGACTAGGCCTGGCAATAGATTTTAGTTAAACAATTTATGTTAATGGTAGTCAAGGCCCAGATTAAGCGTTACCACCATCATCCAAGCATTTTCTCACACAAACAGAATGCAAAACATTTGCAATCAGTCACCGACTCGACCAAAGGCAACATCCACCACAAAGCCAAACCGCAACAGAGCAAAAGTTCGCTAAGGTCGGGCATCTAATTAAAAAGCATTGCAATTTGCAAAAGTTCGACCAACTTTGCAACTGCTCTTTCACTTATATTACTTTGTTCTCGTCCCTAAGATGGATGGATTATGCATTATGAAAATAAATATGAGGCAAGGCATATATTATCATCAATATACATTTGATATGCTACGAACTGGTATATAGTCTTTAGGTCCTTTAGCTTTGCCATTTTTTTTTGTTTCTCATTGTGCATTTGCGATTAATTAGCTGCTTAAGAGGAATTAGCTTTGAATGAATTACATATAATTAATTAAATGTTTTAACACTATTTCTACCAACATATTATGTATGCATATTTCAACCAAACAATACAAAATCTACATTTCTTGTACAAAAAAGGCCTCGCCGGATATATGTACTTAGCTGTGGAAAATCGGCAGTCGTCAATTTTATAGGCGCCTTCAATCCACATTGTAAGCCATTCGACGGCGATAAAGTCTGAAGTGAGTGGCCTCTAATATAAAATTGAATTTGAATAAATGGAGTCGAGGACGTAAAAGCGAAAAGAACAAGCTGCCGGCGGCACAAGTTTCGCATCCGATTTGATTAGTTTGCAGGGCAGTATTGGGACGCCCTTCCTGCTAAACCAACAAGCTCACGCTCAGCACTTAGCCAATATTTAATAAGCCACAATCTTTGAGAGCAACAAAATGGAAGCGCGCAATACACAGTAGGAGGCAGCAGGAGCTACCCGAAGGTGTTGATGCTTTAAGTTAAAATGCGACACGAAAGAGATTTAATTTATTCAAGCCCCGTTAGAGGAGAAGGCGGCCGATGCAGAGCCAGTGATTAAAAATTCAACAAACTGCACTCCTATCCTTTTGCACTCAAGTCTCCCATCCGCTCTCCTGCCACAAGCTGAGCCAAATTATGCAAATGTTGTCGCCAGCCAAACGGGAGGCAGACAAACGGTGACAATCTGACAAATTGGCAGTTTGTCTGGCCGAACACGTGGAATTCATTTTACCAATTAACTGCCAACCGCCAACTGGCGAAAACTTGGAATGTGTATGAATGTTTTTAAATTGCTTAAGAAATGTCGACAAGGTTGCGTCTATTCAGGCTTAATTAGCATAATATCAGTTTTTTCTTATTCATATATAAATAGCATATGTAAGTTAAACTATGTAATTGTAATTCTTCAAAATTTGAATATACCATTAAGTAAATAAATTGGTAAAAAATATAGCACATCAAGCCAACAAATATTCTTTATTGTTAGCTGAATTCATTTAGGGTTCTATCTAGATGTACTTTTGGGTAAACACTTGTCAAGATTTTGCCAGGAGGCACTTTCGTAAGGCTATTTCTGAGACCTTTATGAAAATGTTATTTGTTTTTGTGTGTTTGTTGGGGTGTATTATCGCACACATAGTCTGATTATAATGTGACAATGGTTGCCACAAAATAATATAAGCATTTTCTCATTTCTAAACATAAAATTTGCTTACAACTGTTAAATACGCACCTGGCAGGTTGCAAAGCGAAAATGTCGACCCTGACCCTGGACTCCCGCTCAAAAGATTCCGTATTAAATTGAACTTTACATTGGCCCGAAATTTTAAGTTCCATTTACTGAATAAAATGACATATTAAATATTTGTAGATGTAAGGTGATGAGGATATTACCTGTGGCGGATTAGATGTGGCGACAAGTTCAGCTAGGTTAACTAAAATAAATTTTGGCAATAAAAGCTTGTATAAATACAAAACACAAAAATTGCTGAAATCCAATTTACCTGATTTATGTGCAGGGTTAATTCGAACATAAAGATAAGGCACAACATGGGGAGCTACAATAGACACAGATACGAGTACTTCAGCACGCTCTGCTCCACACGTGCTCCTTGCCCCTGATCCCTGCCCCTGCTCTCTGCTCCCTGCTCCCTGCTCTCTGCCCTTGCTGGCACCTGTGCAAAAAAGTTTTCTATTTACAGCCCATCAAGGTGGCTTTATTTTCGTGAGTTTTTGTTCCTCCCACCTCAGATTAATTTTTTGTACGGAGGAGACCTTTGTCTATTTACTTCACATTTGTTGGTTGGAACATTTTATACTTTCGCCTTTACAATATATATCCTTTTTTGCAAGTCGGCTTACAGCTTGACATTTTATTGCATTGACAAAAAGTTCTTTGAAAAAGTTACTTGCGTGGGTTTGAAAATGTTTTAATCCTTATGTGAAGCTTTGGCAATGCTGCAAAGGCGAAAATATATACCATTGTTTTCTGTTGCCATGCCGAATAAGGCCGTCTTTGTTTGCGAATCATTTTTTCAACGACCTTCGCAACTATTTTTCATTTCACACTTAAATTGTCAGAGACGGCTTTAACCAGATGGTTGCTTCGTTGCCTCGTCTAGTCCCTAAAAATCGTATGGCCCACAAAATAAACAACCTTTGGTTTGGGTGGCTTATGTCCGATGTTGAGGATTGTGTCCGAATGTGTAGCACATTCTTGTCGACCATCTAAAAAAAATGTGTAGAAAATTAATCTGCTGGGTTTCCAAGTGTCCTTAAGGGACTTACACATTTGCTTGGCATTTGACAGTTTGCACTTCATTTGGCTCCGGCTGCCTCCAGAGAATTTGCTGCAAGTTATTTTCACATCTGTTTCTTGCTATTTCAAAACCCTGTTAATGCCCCAAATATAGTGAAAATAGTGAAAGGCTCAAGTTGCAATTGATTTTCCGCTAAGGAGACCAATTTTCTTTCGAATTTATAGATTTCTTCCCATCTGAGTTGATTAGCTTTTGTTATTACTTTTTGCCTTTATTCAGACAAATTCCTTATTGTTATTATTGTTGTTTGTTGTCTGTTAGCTGAAATAAATAATTTTAAATCCCTCAATAAATAATTTAAGAAATATGTAAGCTTAATTTTTGGGAGATTAATTAATTGCACGGATTTACATTTTACTCCTATTTGGTTTATTACACATTTAATTATCAGATTTCGGAAAATCCACATCACGTTCGTGAAACATACCCTGCCTAAAGCTTGGTAATAGCTTTCAGTGTAATTTTAGGGTGAAGCTTTACATTCTACAAAGAAATTACAAAAGACAATTTAAAAAAAATCATTTTCTTTTATTTTCTAACTTTTTTAAGGCTCATGGGAAATTGTAAAGTGATTTTTTCCGCGTCAGTTTGGCGATCTTATCGTACTATTGTAATACCAATGCAAAATGTAATTTCAAACTTGATTCATCGATTTCGGAAAATCCACTCAGCTGAGTGGAAATGGGAATTAAAGGAAGGAAGGGATCATTTTAACTTCTCGCGTTCCTGAAGCTGGGTAATAGCTATCAGTGTAATATAAAAGTAGCCTGCTTTGAACACATTTGCGGTCGTTTCTGTTGTCAGTTGGTCAGTTCGTAAAATCAATGTTGTGACCCGCAACCGTAATACGGTTTTACTGCCAGTGGCAGGAAGCCCAACCCACGCAAACACAGAGATTGACTTTCTAACACGAAACTTTGCCATTCTGTCTGAAACGCTTTTAATCTAACAACAAAGTTACTAAGAACTTGCCAACCTGAGGTTAAATTTCGTGAAACGTTTTGCAGTTTAGGGCTCCACAAATTTACGTTGTCCTCGAAAGCAGAAACATAAAGGTGTCGCCTATGCTTGATATTAAATTGGATCAAATTTCATTTTGTCGCGATACCTTTACATTGAAAATACAAGTTTGTGAAATAAAATCCTTATAAGCAAACTGAGACAAATCAGCTTAGCTCAAATAAAGGCCAATAAGAAAATCTTAAGTGTTCGATAAATCTCTTTGCTACGTTTTAACTTAATTTTCAGCTTAGCTTTATTCGGGCATAAAAAGCTGCTTAATAATTCGGAGCCTAAAACAGGTCGTAAGAAGTTGAATTAATTAATTGCCAAAAGCTGCAAAAAACAACGCCTCGACTGTCAAATAGAAATATGTAACAGGCCTTTTTTACTCCCAATAAAAATTAATTAGCGTTGCGAGCCGGAAATGTTGGCCTTAATAATGACGCCGAGACCAAAGTGTAGGCCAAAAAAATCAATAAACTGTTAAGCTTTCGTGGCAGACCCGAAAATTGTACAAGGCCTGTTTAAAACGCAGTCAAGCCTAAAGTGCTTGAGGATAATCCAAGTCTGTCCAAGAAATCCAAAATCTTATCTTTCGCAAAACATTTTCTTTCTGCCAGTCGATGCACATTGCAAAATATTCAGAGTAGAATAAATTATTTTTCTTATTATTATTCCTGGCAAAACAATTAAAAGTCTGAAAGTAGTAATATTAGAATATTTAAGCTGAGCACAGGGAGCTCTGCAAAACCACTTAAAAGTCTTGAAAATATTATAATTCTCGTGGGGCTTGTGGGAGATGAGAGCTCTTGACTTCTGGTGACTGGGACAAACGTCCTTGCTAAGCCGAATGACTTTTGAATA